GAAACCGACGGAAGAAACGAAGAATGTTATTGTTGTCGGACAAAATGAATCAATCAGAGAAGAGGTCAATAACTCGAGTGACGCATCAGCAAGGCCTGTAACAGTTCTGGGCAGCACATCTAACAATCAAGAGATTGTAAACGCTTCCAGTCCAAAATTACGAACCACATCAAAGCTAGACGCAAGCCCATTAGAAATGGAAGCCATAATGGACGAATCGATCTTGGTCATTCCGGAAAAACCACAAAAGCAGCAGGAACATACCCCACAAGAAAAGGACATGAATGACGGAGAAAAAGATAATGAGTCGTTTGAACAGGTCTCGTACGATGCGAAAAACAATTTATGCTTATCCGCCAGAATGACCAGTGAGGAGGAGCCCGAGACGATTGTACCGGTGATGCGGAAAAAAATGGAACAACAGCAACAACAAAATGAGGGCGAACGAGATAGATCAGAATCGGTGTGTGTCACGACGCGTGATTCGATGGTGTTCGAGCATGACCTCAACACAGAGATGATCAAGACGTCCACGGAGGGGCAGCCATCACCGTTAGGTGAACCAAGAGAGGAGGACATACCAGTTGTTCTCGAGGACGGAACACAGTTTGCGCGAGAATCAAAAACTGAGAATCAAGGGCATGGAGTTGATGAAACGTTTGGGGTGGAATTGTCCTCTCAACACTGGTCAATAGAAAAAGAGATGTCGACAGGAAAGCCAACCGATGAGGACCTAGCGAAGATATTTATAAATCAAGAGGATAGCCACATCCCGAATGAGTTTGTCTTGGTAGACGAAGTGAAGAAGCCGCAGAGAAGAGAGATGGAAATGCAAGAAACTATAGCACAAAGCTATGATCCGAAAATGGAAGAACAAATAAATCAACTAAATATGCAGGAGTCGCAATGCATTGCAGAAATCGAGAAATATGAGTCCGAAAACATAGGACAACATAACGGAGAAAATCACAAAGAACTTATACACGACTGGCAGATGCCAGGTGCAGACGGACAGGACAAACTTATAAGTAAAATACACACAAATCACCAACAAGCCAAAACAGCACAAGCAGAACACCATGAAGAAAACGATGAAAGAAACCACCAAATCAAATGGCAAGAGACAACCGCTACGATGCTTCTAAGTGAACCGCATGGATTCAATGAGCACCAATACGGTGAGCCTGATGATTCGGAGCGTGTTGAGCCTGTGCTTGATAACGTTCAATCGCAT